CAGCGAAGGCTATTCACAGTTAGTTGTACTGAGTCAGTCAGTTAGTCCTGGAGCTACCGCCGAGTGAGTCCTCGAGCTACCTCCGAGTTAGTTAGCCAGCAACCAGTCAGTTGTATTGCGGCATTTGGAGTGTACTAATTGTGATACTGCAAATAGCAGTAATCGTAAATCTGTAATTTGGGTGATTGTGAGAGTGGATGTGAAATAAAATTCGCTATATAAAATACGGCGTGAAGTTATTTGTCGCGATATACGCCCGATACGCGACAATATTTTATAATGCTTCTTGTTATGTTTTTAAGTTTCTGTTAACACAGCTACTACTGTAAGCAAATCAATATCTATATATATGAAAGTAACATGCAACAAACTTACGTGTTATTGATCCACTTCTCCTTTTCTTCCTTTTCTTGTTCTGCCTTGACAAATCGCCATCTTGCTCTTCATTTGACAAAGAGGGAGCAGAGCTATTCACCGCCAGTTTCTCAAACATATTTTCCAGCAAAGTTCCAATTTTACCGGCATTTCTTATCAGTAACTATATAAAAACAGATTACAAGTTTTAATACAGTCTAATGTAATATTCACGTTACTACAAATAATGAGAACTAATAAACATGTCCAGTACCACGTGTGCATTATGCAAACTTTTCCAGTAAAAATACATTAGGAATTATTTTATAGCCCTTAAATAATATCTAGGAGGATCTGAAAAACTTCTGTCCTGACCAAATTTAATAACATTATCACATGTAATAAGTTAGAAGTTTAAGTCAACAACAAACTATCTGGGAATCTATTGTCACGTAGTACGTGACTATACACAGGGTTCAGATTGGTGACCCCAACTTACTGACCACTTATACACCCACGACTACAATTTACAGATCACTGACACTGGAGCAGGATCCACTCAGTCTCATGAGGATAAGCGAGGAGCTATTATAAGGAAATTGCGGCTCCGGTCTAGAAAACCTAAATTAAAAGCCGTGGGTATTCATTGTGCTGACCATTCAACACCCTCTATCCGCTATAGTTGGCACTAACTTTGCCGACAAGCAGTGGTCACTCAGTCGGTATAGTTCACTTGTAGACTAAAACTATGGAGTTTGTTTTTGACACACAGACTAGTGTCTTCAGTCTATTACAACCTACACTAGCTGCTTCCTAACAACAGATTTCAATGCGGGAACTACAACAGTCTCACTGAATTACACACTCCAAATATCACACAGAAATTCTGCTCTTCACAGCTGGACTTTCAACTGAGCACTCCTGTAGAGAACTGCCTAACAACTGACTTTGTCCCTTGCTTATAACATCTCAGCACAGATCATGTAGGAACGCCCTATTTCCAAAAGTAACTCTATTGTTGCCACGGGAACATGTTTACTGGGCCACTGCCAAGATGCGGTCATTGATCAGTGTCACCACTCAGCAGCAGGTCTATATGCCACATTTCTTCCTCCTTAAGGCTATCTGTCCTGAATAGCCTCCAGGCATACCATTATTTCTTCTCTTCTGAGGGCTGTGCTTGTGACATCTGTGATCGGTCTCACTTTTCCTTCCCTGCGACTCAGTTTTCATGGAGTTTACTCTCCAACTGCTCCTGCTGGTCCTTCCCCAAGGCTGCAGATTCCCAGTGGTGCTTTTGTATGCCGTTCCTCACAGCAAGGGATTTTCATTGAGCCCAGCAGCTTTTATATGTACGTCTGTATTCAGCAATGTCTTTCCATTCTGGGTGCTGTCCAGTCTCTACTTCCTCCAGAATGGGCCCTATGTCCTCATTATTCAGTTGTTCAGTTCTCAAAGCCACTGGATCCCAGCCAGCTGCGGCTACATCTGCAATAGTGTGTACCTCAACTTTGTGGAAATGGATACACTGCTCTAGGCATGGTCGTCACAAAAGGGCATTGGCATTGACATTGTTGTGTTTTCAGCCTTGGCAATGCTCAGAAGTAAAGGTGTACTCTTATAGGCATTGAATCCAGCATGCAGTTTGTTCTTGTAGGTTTTTAAAACTCATATGAGCCAGTCTTGTATTTAATCATCCTGTTGCATTCTATATTCAACCTTATTTACATACAAGTTTCCGTCAACAATGCAACTATTTATTTCTTCATTCACATTTGTTTTCGTAATTAACATAACATGTTTCGGCCCAAAATGGCCATCCTCAGGTGTCCCATGTCACTGCAGCCTCTTCCTAGGGACCTTTCCATGCTCCGATACAGACTTCAATAATTCTGGATTTGCCTCTATCTTTTCTGGATAGGCTTCCATCTCTTTTCACCGGGCCCTCATATCTTTCATGATCTCCTTTAATTTTGCATCCCTTTTTCTTCAATGTCTTTCATTTCTGCTTGGTTGGCATCCATTTTTGCCAGCAGGCATTCCATTTATATTGGTTCTAGATCTTAACAAAAAGTTTTAAACAATACTTTGTAAATAGACTAATTATAACAATTTATGAATGTTTTAACAAACTCATGCACATCATAGTAATTGTTACAGAAGAATATTTTATGTCTATGACATTGTAATAGTAATTTCTGTAGGTACTGATAATGACCAATGACATTGTTACAGTACAGGGAGATCGAAAAGTTGCGCACATCAAAATAAAAGTTGTTATAAATAGTATTGCAGTTAATATAATTATATCTCCTACCACTAGATGGAACTGTAGGAGTACTAACAACGAGTAGGAACGCCATCTGTCATGTATTGGTCATACAACGTCTGAAGTACAGCTTTGTTTATTGCGTGACAGACATGTCGTTTTCCCAAGAACAACGCGTTTTCATCATGGAACATTATTTTGCCAGTCGTTCTTATGCATGTGTCACAGATAAGTTTCATCAGGAATATCCAGATTCTGCAGTGCCTAACAATTCAACAATAACGAGAATAATCAACCAATTTCGGGAATGTGGATCAGTTTCAGATACGAAGAGATCTGAAAATCCACATGTTACATGAAAAGCCCTTGCACTGTCAGAAAATTGGAGTGTGGTGTGCTGTATCATGTCGTTGAATAATGGGCCCAATTTTCTCTGAAACAACAGTGAACACTCCAGTGTACCAAGACATCATTACACAGTTTATTGCACTTCTTGAAGTTGATGAACGTGAGTGTTGGTTGCAGCAAGACGGTGTCACATGTCACATGTCTAATGAAGCCATGCAGTTCTTGCGCAAGTTTTTCAGTGACCATCTCATTTCGAAAGGATTGTGGCCCCCACGTTTGCCCGATTTGTCACCAGCAGATCTTTTTCTTTGGGGGTAGCACAAAGGAATTGTCTATAAAAACAATCCGCATACACCAGATGACCTCAAGAGGAACACTATGATGGCGATTAACAGCATCAGTTTACAGGTGCTCCACAAAGTGGCCTCAAACATGGTAAAAAGAGCTCGCTCATGCATTGTTGAACAGGGAAGCCAGTTTGAGCATATGTTGTAAAGACATGATTTGATTTTGCATTTTTAAGATGTAAGGTTATAAACATTAATAGTAAGTGCTGTATGTCTTGTAGTTTGTGCATTAAACCAGAAAAAATATAACTGCTTAGTGTGATGTGCACGACTTCTCAATTTCCTTGTAGTTTCCATATGTATTGACAATGTCCTTCTGAAGATGGTCGCTACAACCAAAACAGGTAAAGGATGAAAGATTAAAAAAAAAACGCAACATTTGTCAATCACATTGGACAGCATTAATAATCTTTTATATTAACATAAAATGTAAAACATCAAACTGTCCTTGTGCATAATTAGGCACCACATGATAAAGATGTTGGGGGGGGGGGAGGTGTAGCTCCACACATTCTCAACCATGGCACTAGATCCAAGATGAGTGGTCAGTTTCATGACCTAGCTGTTTTACCAACTCAAATTTCTGGCCACCCAGCTCATAGCCTGTTGCTATACCGCTCAAGCTATCTCAGCTACCTGGCATCTTATCAAAGTGATCAGCAAAGACATTTCATGTTATATCAAGAATAAGGAGTAACTGGGAATGCTATGCTGAAGTTATGCTCTCAGTGGCTGGTAGTCAGGATATGACAGAAGCACTGAAGTGAGTAGAAAAGATGTATGCATGCACATGCATGCTGAGCTAGAATTGTACCCCACCAAGGTGACATCAGTGATACTTGTTTTAAATGAGTATTATAACAAAATAATTCCTTTAGCACAGTGACCAGCAAGCTGCAAGAGAAATGGAGAAGCATTAAGAATTAATTATGATAAACTTCACAAAAGCTTTCATCTTTTGTGTCCCAGTAACATTCTAAGCAATTGGTTTTACTACCCAATTTCATGCTTAAAAAGCTAAGCAATTTCCTTTCAGTAATACATCCAGGTACATACTTCAACCACTTCTACATGATGAGTGAGCCTTGATGTGCCATAAACAACTATCTTCTCTTCTACAGGCATAACCGAAGGAGCAACTATGATTGCTAAATTTTTTACATTCATCTTGTTTGTTTCAGAATGGGATGCTACTTCTTGGAGGAACTGTAAAGAATGCAACAGAAAATATAAGCACATTTGTGATAAATATGACATGCCACAATAAACTACTGGGGTTATTTTTATTGCATAGTTTCAATCTCAGAAAAAGTTTGTTACACAAAGACAGAAACTGTTCAGTGAGACCAGATGAGAGGTATCCAGAATAAAATAATTACATCAGAAAAAGCATTTATCATACACAATTATGGGTTACACCATGACAAAGGGTAACTATCAAAGTTTTTTTCTTTTTTCTGAGTACATAACTCTCTCAGTAAATTTCAATGTGAACACCCTTGGTGGCATGACATACATCAGGCGATATTCAATCTTATTCCACGTTGCATGAAGCATGTTGGTGTTACTGTAGCCATAGCGTCCCTTATGCGGGCTTTCAGGTGTTGAAGGTCATTGATCTTAACCTGGTAGACAATGTTCTTCACATAACCCCACAAGAAATAAATGAATTGGATCAAATCTGGCGACCTAGGGGGCCAAGCAATTGGTCCACCTCTGCCGAACTATCTCCCAGCCATCTCTCTATCCAGGTGATTCCTAACATGGTGGCAGAAATGTGACAGTGCCCCATCTTGTTTGAGGATAGTTTGAGGTGGTAATAGGGGCAGGGCATACAGCTCCAGCATGTCCAAGTACTATGAACATCTGGTCACAGACTTTTCCGAAAAGAAAAAGTGGTCTGATCAATCTGTCATGCATTTAGCCAGCCCATGTGTTCACTTTGGGGCTGCCTCTCTCCAACTCAAACATAACGTGGATTTTGACTGCCACAAATCCTGCAGTGCTACCTGTTTACAACTCCAATGACCTGGAAAGAGTCGCCTTGTCTGAGAAGCACACTTGATGGAGGAAACTGAGTGATGTGTTAATTCTTTCTAGCATGTCCACAGCAAGTTTGTGCATAATTTTCATTTCATGCATCCTGTTGTGTTATAATATATAACTTCTTTATTAAGACCACCACAACACAACTACCGTATTTACGCATGTATAGGCCGCAGCACAATTTTCAGACAGAAATTATACAAAAAATAATTTTCTTGGAACATTATTTCAGGAGTATTACACTCTGTATTACTAATTATGAATATAATTTTTTTTAAATGAAGTGTGATTTCGAATATAAGCCGCACCCAAGATTTCCTCTTCAATTTTTGGCAAAAAATGTGCGGCCTATACATGCGTAAATACGGTATATAAAGGTCAGTGCCTGGTTTTGGCTCTGCCTTACTAAAGAAGTTTGTGCATGCTACTTGGTCACTCGGTTTTGGTGCATGAATCATTTGAATCTTGTATGTTCATAGGCAGAGCCTTTTATGTAGCATATTGTGCACTACTGAACATGGAATTTATACATAACTGCAAGCCAGCAGCATAAATTGCTTTGCGCAGACTTCACTGGAATGCATCTCTAATGCAATTTACATTTTCTTCAGAGGTCAATGTCTTTCCAGGAGGTTTTGCATGCAACAGACTACCTGTAGTCCTCAGTTTCTTGTCCCAGAACCTAATACTTTTCCGTGCAGGGGGTTGAAGTCCATATTGCCTTCTAAAACAATGCTGTAAGAGATCGCAACTATGCTAGCCACAATACGCATTGAACCACTTCCTGTGGTGACATCTTTACTGAGCTCACCGAAGGTCATCAGCTGGTGCAGGCATGTAAGCCAGGCACAGAAAAAAAATTCATAGTTTTCTTTTCTGATTACATAAACCAGATACACATATGACAATTAGTTTCTGAAATATACGTTTTTTATTTTGGATACCTCTCATCCGGACATCCTTTATATTCTGTCACCATTAGTGTGTAAGAAACAGATGTTTCCTAATAATGTCTCAGTAATTTATTAAAAAAGAGTAACATTTTTATACAAAAAAATTCTTCTAACAACAAACCATTCAGGAGACAAAAAGTGCAGTGAATAAACAACCAACTTCAACATCTGTTAATTTCTTATCAGTGGAATTAGTTTCATACTTTCCAAAACTCTTCCATCATAGAAAAATTCAGAACTCTACACTAAATGGTGCTAATATTGTTTTCATCACCATTATGGTAGTGCTGTTGACAACAAGTAAGAAGGACAAAGTGGGGTGTCCTCCAGTGGCACGACATTCAGACGGTTTCATTAAAGATTTGAGGCTTTCACGGCGGTGACTATGAAGAAAGCAGTCTTTTGGGATTTGGCACCATGTATATGTGGTGTTAACCGACGCTTCGGAGGAACGTCAGTTAACACCACATATACACGGTGCCAAATCCCAGAAGACTGCTTTCTTCAGTTTCATTAAACTTTACCATCCCTGCATCACACTACTGTGATGGCACATGCACAGACCTAGTAGACTCCATCTTAACTTTAAAGTTTACAATTTAAATACCATGGCCACCAGAATGATATCAGTGGAATATTCAAACCCCTACATGCACATGATAAACATTAAATTTATCAGTTTATCAACAGATTTATGAAGACAGACACAAATATCTTCTTACCCTAAAGAGTGGGGATAATAGCAAAGTCAGGTAAAACTGATGATATTTTGTGCTTAGGAGCTGCAGAAGCCATCTTCACAAACATAAGGCTAGTAGAGTGCACACATAATAAGCATATTCACAGAAGAAATTATAGATGACAAGCTAACATCCACATTCTTCACATTACTTATAACACAAGAAAATTTAGCTAATGTGAGAAAAGGAAATATATTCTGTAATTCCAGACATGCTCCATTTTATATAAACCAAACATTGAGGTCATACAATCATGATAATCTCTTTCCTTATAACAAACATTAAATTACCACATAAACTGTTAGCTGATGCATTTTCAAATTGGCAAGAAGTCAAAACTATATAAAGAATAAACAAAGAATCAATGCTAATGCTTCATTGTTCACGGAAATTACCAGAACTACAAGAAAATGAAAGGTACATAAATTAATATAATGATATACATAAGATTCCTAAAACCACACTCCACACATATCGTCACTCCGAAATATAACATCTTCAACCTGCAACTTTGAGAGCTGGAGTACTGTATCACTGTCACATAGACGCATGATTGTTAATAAAACAAATTAAGATGCAAATTGATACAGCCATATCACATTATGAAGACAGAACAGATAATGGAAAGATTAGAATTAGCAAGATCAATCAAACGAAAATCCTACAAATCTGAAAATCTATTTTACACTCTAACCTGCATCAAATATGCCAATGTATTTATGTGTGCAGTTGGCATCAGCAGACACGTTAAAAGTATTCCTTCTGTTTTCTTATCTCGTAACAGCAAACATCTACAAAAGAAATATACAATACAGTGAAACCCCCATTTAATGTTTGTTTGAGGAGCAGTAAATTTTAACAAAAAAAAAAGAAATATCTAAATGTAAGCAATTTAACGAAAGATTATTGAATTGGGATCATTGAAATTGGACATTAAATAATGGACAACCTTAAATCAAGAAATATTACGTGAGGGTTTCACTGTATAAAGTGTTAACAATAGGCTTGTGATACACCAATCCATTTAAGAAAGTGTTCCAGAGGGCTCACAAAAAGCAGCAGTTCTTCATATGTGAAAATACATGAAGACAAATGTAATTTCATACATTTCCATGTCATGTTTCTAGTATTTGTATTTAAATACATAACTAGCACTCAACAGCCACTATTACTTATGAATAACTACTACGTGCTTCAGCTAGGTATACGAAATCTGACGTTCTCATAGCAGTGAGTATTAAGATTATGATCCCATGGGATGTGATGTCATTTGTTAGATACATAGATACCTACTGATTGACATGCATCACATCCCAGAAGACAACATCATAGTAACCCGAGGTGGATCATATACATTCTGTTAATGATTAACCTGAGGACAGGTATTATTTAACGTAACGCATGTAGTAGATAATAAGGTTTAAATAAATACCAGTGCCTACTGAAGGCTAATGATGTATTAAATTATCAATATCTGAAACAAATTCACAAGGAAAAAACAACAACAAGAATATGGGTAATATTACTGTATTTGTTTTAGAATAATCGTAACCTCTCGTAGTCTGTTCCATTTGGACAACTGAGATACGTGTACATCATACTACTTTCCTTTATTTCCAAAAATACAAAAACTTATCTGCACAGGATGGGCCAAATCAAGTGGGCATTTTGAGGGGAAAGATACAACTAAGGAATTATTTCTTAGAAAGTATAAATTTTAGATACAAGTTTGAACATTCTGACTATTCAAGCAAAGGAATGCATAGGGATAAGGCTTTGGAGCCAATGGGACAGGTCAAAGATGCACCTATTCTCCAACCCCTTCACAAGCAAAGAAAACTTAACTTACTCATATATTCACAATCTTACCAATAAAAAATGATAGGACATGACATCCCCATAGTTAACAATGAACACACCACCCCAGTTCTACAGATAAATTTCTGCACCTGTAACTTTTTATTCAGATTTGGTCCCAAACAAATCATTCCAGGTCAAGCACATGCAAAGCAAGAATATTTATAATTATATCCTTCCTGGCTAGAGTAGTTTCAATAAAGGATTAGCATTTGTGTTATGTAGCATTAAAGTGACTTTTGTTCAGAAGTTCTGGATTTTGTTCTCCCTTCATAAGATTTATTTCCTGAGTGCAAAATTCTTTTTCCAGTATCAATGAAACACTGCAGTGCAAAATGACTAGTGTATTTGGTATTACAATATATTCTTGACTATCCAGTTTTTGGCTTATCCATGCACCTTTTGCAGGTGCATTTGCAATCATTACAAGAGCCCTTTAAGTTCACTCCATCCATCTGTTCATTTCTCTGCATAGAAAAAACTTAGCAATGCTGGACTAATTTCAAGTAAATTGACATTTCAAAATTCTATGGGAATATTGTTGAGCAGTTCAAATTTTCATTTAGACTGGAAAATTTAACAACCACTTTACATGTAGGCCTACATCCTTTTCTCTCTGTATCTCTAGTGCAACTCAGTAAATATTTGTTGAAGAAAATGTTTCAAGCATAAGTTGTATAGAAAAGTAAAATATAATTTATGTTCAACAGGAATTTTCTATAAATCTTAACATTTTTAGGATAATTAAAAAACAGGATAGTGTGTATACATTCTCAGATGTATTATAAAATATCTTCGATTATCAGTGTTTTTATTTTCGAGCACCTTTTCTCTGCCCTTAGCATAGAGCATTACTTCAGAATTGTACACTGGACACAAACATGTCAAACACTGATCAGTTTTATGAATCCATACCATCTGAGATATCTTTAACCAGATAACCACTTAAATAACTTGATCTCAGAGAGCACTTACCTAAGCAGCACTTCATGGTAAGCATGCGGTATAAGTGGCTCAGGCAGCTCCCTGAAGAACATTTTCAAAACATTTGCCACATCAATTACATGATGTTCAGGCCCAAACTTCTTATTACTATCCAGGAATGCCTGCATAACATCAAATGAATGAACAAATGTAATGTGCAAAAAAGACATTCATTTGACCATACTGTCATAACCATTATTTATGTTACTGCAAACTTGAAATTCTGCTCATGGATATAAAAAAATTAATGTTTATAAATTAGGAAGAGTTTCAGAAGATCCATAACTAGTAGAGAAGAAGATTTATGGTACTTTAATTCAATACAACTCCCTTTGCTTCTGGCCTCTTCTACCTTGAATATGAAGGCTAAGTTTCCTCTGCAATGGTGAAACCTATCTACCAAGATTTCATCCAGTTTTTTTATTCATTTTTTGTATAGTACTGCTCACGTCTAAATGAATTTATGATTTTGTGAATAGTTTACTACTTGGAACTGTAATAACTTGAAACGTAACACAAAATCTTAAACATTTTAGATGAATATCATATATGAACTAGTTGTGTCAATGTGTAACTCACACAGGCCACTTTGACACAAGTGAAGCAAATGAATGAATGTAGAATACAGTAGCAGGGTCTTGTGATTATGATCAATGTGCATATAATGTATGAGATCATTTCATGGTAACTGCACAAACATTTACTGGGCAATATTGGAGAAACTTGTAATGCGTATGGGTCATTGGCCTGTTAAGTATGCTGAGGCTTGAATATGCACAATGCAAGTTGAAGCAAGTAGTGTGTGTCTCTCAAGCTATATCAGCCAAACAACTTACAACAAGCTCTCAGATAGTCGCCCTGCAGCATTATAACAATTTAAAGATCACAGAAAATTCCAGATACATGATTTGTCCATGTTTTATTTCAAGTGTATGTTTGTATGTAGCTTTCTTAGCAAGACTTTCTTTTTGGGAGCCAAGCTTTCTCCATAAATGGAACATCTTGAAATTCAAATAATTCATTATTCTTTTGTACATCACTTTTAAAATATTTCAAATCCCAGTTCAAAGGCAAATTGGCCCATAATTTGCATTAAGATGTAAAACTTCCTAAGCGACTTCAGTGCCTGAATGTTTTTTTCTGAAATTTGTGATATGGGTCAAATAATTAGGCTAAGTAGAGATAAAAATGAAAAGTTTGAGATTTGAATCAGCAGCCCCAAATAACAGTTGTACATTTATTAAATATAATACTTCATGCATACAACAAACGAATTACCATACTAAACGGTTCTATGCCATACCTTCAGTTCTTTCTGTCGTGAAGTTGAGCCAGCTTTGCGAAAAATTCCTTCAGTTTCTATATGTTGTTTTATGTATGAGCAAGCCCTTGCAACAAAACTCGGGACTTCAACGGCTGTCCCACAGTTTAGCAATACAATTTCATGATCAAGATGATGAAGTGGCACTCTAAATATTCCTGCCTTCTCCACATTGCCGTGTTTAGAGCACTGGAAATGGGTTAAAATTTGTAAAATCTTATTTCAGAATCAAAATTCAAAGCAACTGCAGAACCTAGCTGGTATCGCACCTGTGAATGCTTGTTGGTCGACTTCTTAATTCTATGCTTCACTCCTACATGTCGTAAGTCATGTACAATTATATTGTATAATTCTTCTTTATGACTTCCTTCCACATCCGAGATAAACATGTTTCATTCACCCATACAATCCTAATTCCTCCATAGGAAGTATATGAAGCTTACAACGCCTACAACGCCTAAAACGTACACAACCGTATTAAAACCAAAGACTGTAACTGAGATTTCAAAAGAGGTTACTGCTTCTCACTGATTCCTAAATTTCTCCCGCTATTGGTTCAAACGTAAACACCACGTCCAATCGGTGACTGCCACCGTCAATTGTTTAACGGCTACATGCACAGAACAGATTTGCAATCACAGGATATCATACAACAACCACGGTTCACCAAATACAAAATTGCCAAATCGTCAACGGTTGAGAGAGCTGTCGAAGAGAAACATGGCAGCAGAGCAAATGTGGATATAATGTATGGGAAAATATAAGCATAAGTTTCTGTCATGTTTTATGTAATTGGGTTAGGGCTCGGAGGTGCTGAAGATATCACAGTCAGAGGATTTGAAATTGTGAAGAAGGCTGAAAGAGTTTACTTGGAGGCTTATACATCAATTTTAACAGTTGGTAAAGAAGAGCTGGTAAGGTTATGTTTACTATTTTAGGTTAGGGAAGATTTACTATCTTAAAGTGCTTTGTAAAGTACCAGATAGGTTTGGGTCTTTTACAGCACCTATCACTGGGCGGATTTTGTTTGCATAGTGCTGCTGTCAGGTTAGGTTCAGTTTGATTTTGTTAGGTTAGATTAAGTAACGTTTCCTTCGGTAAATGGTTGCCAAACCAAATTTTTCACTCCTGCCTTTTGAAATGTGTCATATTAGCTACACTGCTTGAATAAAATAATATGAAAACACTTATAGAGGGATTAATGATGCCTTTGGTGTCCCTGCTTAAGAATAAGTGTTCCTCATCTGCTCACAATGCTAGCGTCCTTTCTCCAAAACAATTGAGGAAAGGCATGTGGGAGAGGAGAATAAACCTTCTTCCATATCAATGGGGTTTTTCAGGAGAAATAAATGTTTTTATATAGTATAAATTTACAAACACATCAATTCCAACTCTCTGAAGCAAATATGAATGTCAATAAAATGCTGACATTTAAAATACACAGGAACAATTCTATGGGCGTAGCCTGATCGTTGCAGACCGTGATCTTGTTGAACAAGGAGCAGATGAAATTCTTCAAGATGCTACTTCAAAAGACATTGCATTTCTGGTCGTAGGGGATCCATTTGGTGCAACTACACATACAGATCTGGTTCTTCGTGCTAGAGAAGCAGGTGTCTCATACAAGATTATTCACAATGCATCGATAATGAATGCTGTTGGATGTTGTGGGCTTCAGGTTAGTTAATATCACAAATAACTCAGAATCTTCATACAGTAACTATCAAACAGTCTAAAGCCAAAATTACTTTCTTAAAATTCCGGATCATTACAAGTTACAGCAAGGGTTTATCAGGTGTTTTTTCTTAATATTGTTTACAGCTTTATAATTTTGGGGAGACAGTCTCTATCCCATACTGGACCGAGTCATGGCAGCCTGACAGTTTCTATGACAAAATTTTCGGCAACAGAAGGCGTGGTTTGCATACTCTATGTCTTCTAGGTAAGATATTGGTAATGTGGTCCAACTTTCACTAGGATGATGTTTGAGGTATTTCAAATGTTGAACCTTGAACCATATTCCATTTTCATCTACACTATAAGGTACCATATTTACGCATGTATAGGCCGCACATTTTTTGCCAAAAATTCAAGAGGAAAACTGGGGTGCGGCTTATATTCGAAATCACACTTCATTAAAAAAAAATTTATATTCATAATTAGTAATACAGGGTGTAATACTCCTGAAATAATATTCCAAGAAAATTATTTTTTCTATAATTTCTGTCTGAAAATTGTGCTGCGGCCTATACGTGCGTAAATACGGTATATTATTGTGTCCTAATTATTAATTTTTTAAAATATGTGTATTTATGTATAATAATTATAAATGCAATTATTTTATTTACTGACATGCAATAATGTGTCCCATTTTTCTGTTCAGTTACTTTGTTGAAATACATATTCTATATCAGTTACCATATATTTGCATATTATAAGTTTTTTACCCCTTTTACAAGAATGAACATCTTGCTATACTTTCATTTTTTATTGTCTGTTTTCTGTCTTATGTAGAATTCAAGTAAACTGAATATTCATTCTGATGACTGGTTATATGCAGTACATTTCTTCAGCTAGTATACATACTTGCAATTGATACATATTGACAGATTTGTAAAATATCTCACATCTTCTGATGCATTGTATTCTTTCACCTTCAGACTAAAACTGAAAGTGTGCGAGTATTGGCAAACGTGTTTTTAGAAGGGGGAATAAAGTGCTGGTTATATGGTCAGAAATAGTAATAGGATCATTTTGTGGATGCTATCATCTGAATCACAGTTGCATAAATCTGATACAGATATCCGTGTTAAGGAGCCGACACTGGAAAGTCTAACAAAAAAGGAAAAGGAATATCAGCCTCCCCATTTCATGTCTGTCAGTGAAGCAGCTGGACAGTTGTTAGAAATCATCAGGAGAAAGGATGGAGAGTACAAGGAGTTAGGTATGTTACAAACTCCTTTTGTTTCCTCCGCAGAGAACGCTTTTAATAACCAATTAATTATTTCAGCTTTTCCTAGCTGAACATATTTCTACTGATTCCCTATAAACAGCTGTCTCCTCACCTGCGATCTCCAATAGTCATCAGCAGCTCCTTCATCCTTAATTGGGCTTCCCTTCCTACTCAGCACTTTGCTGCAACCTCATTTTTTGGTTTGCATTTCACATCAATTTTCCAACAGTTTGTGGGCTGTGTGTACCTGATTCATAATTCACTGTTTTATAGGTAAGAAATACTAAAGTGTAATGATGTAACCTCATTAAATGATTAATATTGTCACAGTTTAGGGGTGATTGTAGACGGGGGTTTGGATTGGTATACAGATTTATTGACCATTTATACATACAACGTGGAACTACAAGCACTTACAATGCTGTCACTGATCTATACACTTCAGAAATCACTAGAGCACGTGTTAAGTCTTCTCAGTTTGCTTTCACTACATCTTTTCCTGGTAAAGGATCGTAACACTGGAGATTCATCACCTTCTGTGGTCATGCCATTTCCTGCTGGCTAACACTCAACTTGTAAGTCCACTTAATTATAGCACCATCTCTTCTCAGCCTCCCTTGCAGAATTAAACTGAACTCATTGCTCCAACTGGCCTGGTTATAACTTTTCAGCATGGACCACATAGAAAATACCATTCTTCTATTTTTGTGTTCATGTCCATTGGCGCGGTATTGTGTTTACCGGGCTGTTGCCCAGAAATGGGCTGCATTACTACCCTGCTTGCCAAGAATCCGCTGCCCTAGCAACTGCTGTCATTTTGTGACCATTACCCAGCAGTGTATTTACACACTACATTGTTCCCTCCTTAAGGCTATTGTCCTACCATCATTTCTTTTTTCCCTCGAGAGCTGTGCATGTGACATCTATGACCAGTCTCATCTTCCTTCCTGTGGCATGGTTTTCATGGTGACTTCTCTCCATCTGCTCCTGTTGCTCCCTCCTTAAGACTGCTCATCATAAGCAGTTCCCTCATAGGGTGCCAGTCGGTCCATGTTTATTACCATCATCTTTTTACGGTCAGTGCTGCTACATCTCCAGCTCCAACTCAGTGTGCCATCTCTTCGTTCATTTCGGAGGGGGCCAACCCCTCCACAGTGTCCAGTCACTCATTTTTAAGATCCTGACAGAAGATCTGGCTGTTAGCTTCATGATCTCCAGCCTGATGGTTTTCCTGAAGATCCTGCCAGATGTCCTCTTGCTCCAAGATGTAGCCACTCCTTTAAGTCGTTGCTTATGCCGTTTTTGCATTCCAGTTTTGCCCATCTTTTCCCAAACATCTGACCTTTTCAGGTTGCTTGTATAATGTCCCTGGTCCACTTTTGCTGTCTTATCTATTTGACCATCAGTCCTTTATGACCATGTCCCTTACCTCATGCCACTTCTTCAGTGCTTTGACAGGTTTCACTGTGGCCTCTTATTTAGGGACCTCCTCTGGATCTGCCTCCATTTCTGGGTGGGCCTCTTATGCTTCTTGGCAGGTCGTCTTTCTGCTAGCCATTCACACTGGCTCCCATCCATTCATGATGGACATCTATCTTGGCCATCATTTTTTCATGGACAGCTTTCATTTCGGCCAGCAGTCGTTCCATCGTCTGTTCCATTGTTTGCTCCATGTTTGTAGTGTGGTGATATAATGATCATTGTCCAGTGCAGTGCCCAAATCCAACCATTTCTGACACCAGATGACACATGTAGGGGTATGACAGTGTCTGAATTGGTGATGTATTAACCACTTATACATACGACTTTGAACTACAAGCATTTACAATGCTATCACTGATCTACACACTTTACAAATCACTAGAGCCCATGCTAAGTCTTCTCAGCCTTTCACTAGTCACTTCCTAGCAATGGACTAGCAACTGGTCTACACACAATACATTACTGATTTGAAAAAAATGTTAGGTATTAGAACATTACTAACTCTTCATTGAAAAAACTGCTGGTGTGTACAGTGTAGCAGGTTCCAGGAATCTCTGCCATGATACAGTTTTTTGCCCCTCTCACCTAGGTACAGGTCCCTCAAGTGACTCACACATTGCCAGTTGGTCATACTACTCTTTGATGTGATGCCAGTAACTTAACTACAGTGTCACAGGAATGACAATCCTGTGCTTTGTGCTAGTAGCCATATGACAACATAAAATTATGAGTGGGTGTAGATGCAGGTTACAGTATTGTTGCATCGTGGAACAAGGAAGCATAAAACCTTCACTACTGCATGTACTGTTTTTGAAGCTCAAAGGCTTCCAGAGCTGTCAGACAGTGAGTGTGGTTATTGGTTCCATGGGACTTGGAACCAAGAATTGCTGTGCCCATGAGGGCCAGCAGCAATTCAGCAGTCAGTCAGTACTGTTTTGAAATAATCTGCTCAGGCCAGTGGCTGAACACAAAATGACTGTTGTCACAACAGAGCAGGCAGTCATGGTACAGAATCTCCCCAAAATTCCTTTTAATATATATATTGAACACAGCTTTCCTGACTCTGTTCCCATCCAGCTAATGCTCTGCCTTTTAATGCATACCATGTCAAAAACATTTGGAAATGGTGTATCCAGTCTGTTTTTTTTTATGGAGCTTTCTTTCCTGCATGGATGAAATACATATTTTCACCATACCAAATCTTTCCTCAACCCTTCAGTCTTGATTCACATCCTTTACTAAACAGAATGAAAAATCAGTCATTGTATTCAGCACAGTCCACTATCTTCATCACACAGTTATGATAATTTCACCATTTTCTTTGATGATCTCACATTATTTTTCTGCAGTCATGGTTGCAGGAAGTATAAGTGACTGAACTAATTTTATTCATTCCATAAGAAAAAAAATCTCATGAGTGTATGAGCTCAAATTAGGTAATTTTAAATAACCAGAGAGAGCTGCATGTAATGGCTGATCTGAAACAAATTTCATGAAAGGATCTTTATATGCATCTGGCAAAAGCACAGTTTTATTTGTGTGTCCATATTCTATTCAGCCCAAATTTATCTATATTTCCATTCTTGTCAGTGGATTTCTGGTTGTCCTCACAATGTCATAATATAATGTGCAGCTTACACAAATTCCACCCTATGTGTGGGGTTGGCCCGTGTTGGTTCTGACACACAGCAGATACTGGCCTGCACACTGCAAGAAATGAAGGACATTCATCTGGGTCCACCACTCCACTCCCTGGTAATAACAGGACACCTGCATCCTCTTGAAGTGGAGTACCTGACACAGTTTTCAGACAGCAAAGAGAAGCTGCTGCTCGTAGCCCAGACATAATGAACATTTGAATATTTCACTGCAATTAACAGTAATTGCTGTGCATTAATGACTGAGAATTTTTCATGTATTATTGCATTAAGTCTGTATACAATGAAGGCTAATACATCTTCCTTCATCATGAGATATGTCTTTCTCTTAAGAGTCAGTTAATAAAGTTTTGTTTTTTCCGATACTGCCCTTTAAATTACTGTCGTGTCCTTGTACAGTTATCTACTGTCCTTCCTTTCTTCATTTCAGTTTTCCAGCAGGCCATATTAGGACCATTTTCTTTACAATGTAAATAAAATTATTCCATTAACTGGAAATTAATTTATAATACTGTTCACATTGTGAATAAGTTTTAAGATAATGTGACACGAGGGCTGAGAGCAAGAAGAGGTGACCACTGCTAGGTAATGACATGGTAAATACGTTCCAGAGGCAACAGATATGCATGCAACAATGGAAGAACTATTGGACACGGTGTTCACTATGTGGTCCATGCCAAGGCTATACAGCAAGGACCACCAGAAAAAGTTAGTCATGAGTTAGAAGTAGACAGAGTTAGTGGTTAGCATGAGAGTCTTGTATTGCACTGTTAGATACCACTACCAAGCAATGACTAGTGAAGAGACATAAGACTTAATGTTTGCAGTAGTGAGTAGTAGTGTATAGAGATTAGTGACTGTTATAATTATTTGTAATTGCAAGTTAGACATGTTCAATAAATCCAATCTTCAATTCAACTCCTGGGTACAATGGGGGTATTTACAGCTCAGGGCTTGCAAAAATATGTAAGTACTGAATGTTTCACCTCTATAAACACTCTGCCAAATGTATCTGTCTTTGAATCAATAATTAAACTCATTTACAGGCTAATTAAAAAAATTCACAGACTTAGAAGGTATTACCTCACTATGAATGATAAAACTTCAGAAGATATCAGATAGGAAAAGCATGCTGCATCTGTCAAATATATTGGAACAGTTGAGTCCTAATGTTTGTTTAAAATCAGAAAACGTTACTCATTAAAACTCCAATACCTCTGAATTGCCATTTTATGATCTTAGTGATGATGATTTCTGCATGGAGTGTCGTTTATTTTGTGGATCACATTGAAAACACAGGATTTTATTACTGATAACAGTCTCCAAGAGAATGTCTGAATTATTACCTGCTCTACTGAAGAGCTGGATTTCCTTCCTCTTCTTTCAAGTATTAAGCTTGCAGTTACTATTATTATATCAGTAAAATGACCATATGTAGGATCTCAACTTTATTTATGCTCTTTATCCTGTAAGTACAGAACTTATGTTTCTCTCATGGGTAATAACTTTATTTATGATGTGCCCATTTCTAACCATAATATATTGCAATTTACAATGCTGACCCATTAGAATTAATTAACTTTCAATCAAACAGGAAACAACCATTCACTCAAATATTACATATTCATTATAGTCAAATGCTCGAATATTACTAGCAGTTTTCTTTCCTTTGGCGTCAAAATGTAGATTTCACACACAGTTAACATAAATCTGTCATTCATACAAATAACATTTATTTTTTAAAAAAATCACATTAAGGTTTAATAAAACTCTTGTTACTTAAATACTGACTTAGTTTAAAACCTCAGTTTGAGTTTGTGTCATGTTTTCATTAATTTGTTACAAAAATATATATAATGTAACTCAAAAATTCTTTAGCAAGTATCAGAAACTGATAAAAGTTCAAGAAAGCTATAAAAATACAGCTTCCTACTCTGTGCGGCCTGGCAGAGCCACAGTACCTGTCATTTTGCCAGTCCCCACCTCCTGGTCAAATAGCGTGACACAAGTGCAACAGTAGACAAAAGGTATTCATTAATGTACCTTTCTAAATATAACAGTCTGTTGTGTTCTATGCAAGTCTCATGTCCAAGAATATCACCTAAATAAGTGTGGACAACTTATGTTTTGAAGTTTGGTGTAGAATTTTTCATTGGTTCCCAAACTTTTTGTGCATCCCTTAATGACCTGAGCATGTTTTCTCCTGATGACTATTCACACACATACAGAATTTCTATTACATAGATTTTTTTAATATTATGCACTCCTGAAAACAGGATGGTTTGACCTCTGGAAGCAGTACTGGAATTTTCAATATACTGAACAGCTTTACATTTCATATATCCCATGGGTAAAAGATGTGCATATTCTGAAAGGAAACGTAACCAGAGCATACAGTCTCTCTTAGGAGTTCACAAAGTCACAATATGATGCTTTCTATAAACTTGAGCAGTGGTAGTCATATTACTGTAATTTCTTTAAACTGACTGTTCTTGATTCATTTATCAGTAATTAAAATATTTCATGGTCCTACATTATACAGACTTGATATCTTGCCTTCAGTATTCATACAGAGGGACTGGAGAGATGTGCTTTAGGGGAACAATACTGTATTATGTTGATTTAAGAAATTTGTAGCTGAAGAACAGTAACAATCATTAGACTATTCAAATTCAACTGAGTTACTATATAGATACTGGAAGTACTGTTTATATATTAACATGGGCCAACAAATATTCCAGTTACTTAAAGAGCCAAACTAGCCACTGACCTTAATATTGTTGTGTTGTGACAATTTTAATAAAGAAATTATACTTAAAGTTTGTTGGGGGTACAACTACTCAGTTTGTGAACCAATGAGTGAATTTCAGACAAGTTTGCAAACAGACCCTGGTAGTGCCCAATGTATGCTATATCAATGCTGACCTCATTAATTACCATTGTTTTATTTACCATATGTTTAAATTATCAAATATTTGTATTTTACACAACTTCAACAAATTTAGGGGCCATGACGCTCACTAATGAATTTGGGTGCATTAACCTTGGAAGGTTATGTGATAACGTCCAACACATCTATACTTAATCAGTTGCCGAAACGGGACTGATTTTTCTTCCATGAACTCTTCAATTAGTCCTGGCCATATGTAGCAGACAAGGTAATGTATTTTGGATGAGTGCTTTAGTTTGAGGTCTTCATTTTATTTTTGTGATTTGCTTCTACCTCTACCATTAATGCAAGCATCAGTGTTTTATCAGCATTTATATACATTGGATGATATTGATATGAATGTTTCTAACTACAGTATTGATAAATTTAATATAATACTGGCAAATAAAAGCATGCAAATAAATACCTCAAGAAGTAAACTCCAAAAAAGATATGTTATACCTTGATTAATAATAAAACCAGCATTCTAGTACTGTGATTTCAGATAATCCTGAATTTACAGCAATAACAAAATAAAAGTTTGAAGCCTAGAACATTCAGTTACATCATTGTATTAATGGTGGCATAAATAAGTTCATACAACAGAAAATCATTGAAATTATTATTTCCTTCCAACCAGGAAAAGTAATTTCACTGTCATACTCTCCTACATCAATTACATTATTTTCTTTCCAGCTAGACAAAAAATAAGTAATTTTTTTCTCTTGTGGGTCAATATAAACTTTAAATATAACAACTTACACCCTGATACATATGAAAAAGTATCTCTTAAGTTTAGTAGTTATAGCATTTCACATCTCTGGTTTGAGCTAAGGTCAAAGTTAGATACTAGATACACCTGAAAACCAACCAATGCAAAAAGCTGGAGTATTCAGATCTACTGGTACTTCTATTCAGGTACTTAATGTAAACACTCGCTAATATTGTGAAGCTACCATATAAACTCCTTGACAAAGACCAGATGACATTTAAAGAGACACTGCACTTTATTTTTTAAGATTATAATTCTGGCCCAGTACTTTCTGTCCCTGGCATGAATTCATAATTTCATATTACACAAATAATTTTGTAAACTTAATATTCAGACAGAGAACTTACATCGCCCTGCCTTCAGGATGCTGGTGGCAGCAGAACACATACATACAGTGCAACCTTGATATACTGCCATGTCTGCAAGCAGTTCATATTTCAGCTCTCTGTTTAAGATCATGCCTACTTCATGCCATTAGTTTGTATTCTTTCTACAGTACATCCTCAAAATTATTTGGAATGTATAAATATACCTCAACTCTTCAGCATCACTGGAATAGACGTAAATGTCAAGTGCAGGATTTTTTGGTATTTTAAAAATGTTAACCTGCTCTAAATTTTTGTTCCACACACACACACAGCGATATATGTGATTATACACTTACTGATGGAACAACTTACTTCAGTCATTAATGTTGAAGAAATAAAAATACAATGTCACAAACAAAATACATTAACTTTTATCATCTGTAAACAAGGGATTTTAAATTTCCCAGTAATGTGGCAATGACAGATTTTAATTCAGGAGTAACAATATTATTATTGAAAAAATGCAACACTTGGTCAACTGGACTACATGCAGTGTGCCATTACAACAGTGCAATGCATGGCCAATAAAGATTAAAGGAAATTATATATCCAACAATATCAGTCTGTATGTTTATATTAAAAACTTGTTTCACTAGACTGGCTTACTGCCATGGATGAAATTTTTAACAAACTCGCCTTCTGTTCATTGGTGCCTGCCATTAAGTACGAATTGCCATATCATATGCAAGATACATAACATCATTAAAAGTATGAAAAATTCTGATTTCAGCTAACATATTTTTATTGGCTTAGAGAAATAATGCAATGTAATTTGTTAAGGCTGTTTTATATTGTATATTTTATGTACATATATTATAGACTGGGGGTTACAAGTGACAGTATATCAATGAATGACAGTACATAAATGTTCCACAGATTCCTTATACTCTTGCTTTGCTCAGGTAATCAGACAAAGAGTTTTACCTTTGGTACTTCAATGCATTGGTTGGTTCAGTGGCATACCCAGTCTAACACATGAATAATTTTAATTTCCTGTATTACTACATGTTTTAATATGTGACACGTCTTCTGTGGACTGTGGGTTTGATATTCAGTGACTAATCAATTTCACAGCTAACTACTAACTGAATGAATGACTGATTGAATAACTAACTCCATGGAGCTACGTTCTTGAGAAGCTAACGGTTGCCCAGCTGCTCATGAAATTCCTGACATATTATGGACTCTGAAGGTGGAAAGTTAATGTACAGTATAAATCTCAATTGTGTGTGTTAGTTACAGTTTCATAAGAACAACATGAACATTTCTAGAAACTAATATTGTTTTTAAAGTATTTACAAAATTTAAGAGATCACATAGAGAAACTGATAAATACAACAAAACTGATCTGTACAAATTAGTACCTTGGGACTCCAATAAACTATATTTATCCCAAATGGGAAGAAAATTTAGGATTAGATATCAGCAGGATATAAAGGATACAAAATGCAACAAAGACACATCTTAATTACATTACACATACCCTGAATGGATGATAGCATGCCTACAATAAAACTGAACTCTGTAAGGAGATGCTGAAGTAATTCCCACAGGAAGAATACTGGGTAGTTATGAATGCTTCTATATCTATAAACACAGGAAACACACACATACGAAACAGGCAGCAGGCTGGTAGCAGTAATATTCTATTCAAATCAATATGTTGACAAAACACTACCTTAAAAGAAACCTAGGCCAAGACATAAGAAACAGGATATCTCTATTCCTGTCTGCAGGAAAGCACATCTACTTGCACTCATTTACATCATAAGCAGGGTCAGTATCACTGATCAGAGATATCGCAATAAACATAGTACATTTTAGTCTCCCACATATTCTTCTTAACAACCATCACAAACAACAAACAGACCAGGGAACTTCTTTAACACCTGGGAGGGGGGAGGCAAACTCAGAAACAGTTGAAATCAGACATGTAGCATATGCAGAGTAAGTTACACAGTCAGCCAGCATAAAATAGTAATATTATTGTAAATATCATGATATAGGAGGATGAAGGACATCACATCATTTTTATTAAGTGTATGTGATTTTTAATTGAATGTTTTATCCATAACTTGATTTAAGCAAAACTATAAGTAATACACATGTTCTGAGGTTCTTATCATACATTAACTGTCCACTGTACAAATGGGCAAAGACTGAAAAGGGAACCAGTTGTCCATACAACATTCAACTTGGGTTACCTGAAGATGACAGTCACATGTCATGGATTTATTTCATAACATTTTCAGTATCGAGACTATTATACCATCACATGGTGGGATGACAGATGAAAGTTGAAGTGGGAAGAATTTTTAAGGGAGGGATCATGACCTGATCGATGAAATATACCGGCATTTACTTGCAGGGACTAATGAAAACCATGAAAAAAATTATCAAGACAGCTGGTGAGGCTGAGATTCAAACCCAGCACCCCCTGAATACAAGTCTAGAGCATAACTTGTGGACCACCTAGTCAAAACATGCAGTAGTAAAGGAAATAAAATGTATTAGACTGTAACAATGTTTTATGAACATATTAATTGTAAGAGAATTAAAACAGTTAATATTAAAATACACTATCAAGTTCTAAGTGGATTCTTAAGAATCCCCCATCACTTTCCCATGCCTTCTTTACTCGTAAAACATAATACAGAAGCCCAAACTGGAAGAATTGCCTTTTATGAAAATTTGTTTCTAAATAAGAACATATAAATTCACTCAGGCCAAGAATTTACCTGTTCTCAGCATTTTACATATTGTCTTGTCTTTACTCGCAAGGCTTCAAATATAAACGTTCTTGTAACTATGTATTAACAAGGCTTCAAATATAAACGTTCTTGTAACTATGTGTGGATACACAGAACTTCTCATTTGCTTTTACCCAAGTGCTAGAACTTTTGAATACATACACAGATTTACTAGCCATCCTGTCATGAAATTGAGATCTTGCGTTTATTGTATTAACATTGTAATGAAATTTCAGATCATACAGATAAATAAACCATAAAAAGTTTTGAATGATAATTATTGTGTAAGACAGAAATGGGGGATCTGCATGTATGCACTGCAGTGGATTCTTCAAGAATGCAACAAAGAGAGATTTTCATGACACTTCATCCACAAAATTTCATGAATAATTCCCTATGAGTTTGTATTTTCATCAGAGATTCAAGATTCACAATGTCCATGTAGCAGTGTAATGGGCCCCAGTTCCATCTGAAATATTTTTGTGATTGTACTGCTGCTTCCAAAGTGGGATAAAGACCTGTGTTTCAGATTCCTCCATCTCTTACAGATGAATAGCATGTAAAGGTTAGTGCTGTCAGTGAACAATCACCTTTCATAAAATTGTTCCTAAAATTCCATATGAAATATCTGTCTTATTCAAAACCACATCAATCACTAACTTCAACTCTTTCAAAGAAAAGGACTGAATGTTGTATTCTTAACCATAAAACTGAGAACCTGATTAGTGTAACATTTTTCTGGAAAAACAATGCCTTTAAGGAGACATATAGGAAAGCAGAATTAACTATAAAAAATAAAGGTAAAGCTATCCCTGTAACATGCAGTGAAGGTCCATAATGTTGTGCGATGTCGAGGCTCCCACATTTCCTAGACAACTGGCTCACATATGGCGGTAAGGTTGTCATCCTTATGCACCAGCGCCCTTTACCCCCCCCCCGGAAGATTCCTGGTACTCATTTCTGTTAGAGGCCAAGTCAACCCCAGGGCCATAGTGCGGCTGAAAGAATTAGGCAAATTGAAAAGAAAATCCAATGACATCACTGGAAATTGAACTTGCAACTTTCCAGCCTCTAGCATTGTGCCTCAACCAACTACGCTACTGCATGCCCCTCTAGAATTAACTAGAAGGTGCTAAAATTTTCTTGTGGAACTACATGAATCATAATTTTCTACAGTGGACTCAATAAGGTAAATTTGTCCCTGTGCTTCACTAATTAAGCACTAAGCCATGAAGGTATATGGGGTTATGGATGTATAGAGCCATGTATTCTCGACCTCAGCACTGGTTGAAAGTGAATGGTCAGCTTCACAGCTGGACGAGCCCCCAGTAACCACTGGGCAGAAGGCCAGGCAGTTAGGCCCCAGAATTGTTCTGGATGACAATCTCACTCCTACCAGAATTTGAACTCTAACCCCTCGGCCATCTAGTCCATAGCCAGTCACTATACCAACTGCACTATCCAGCTCCTACAGTGAACTAAGTATTCTCTGTAAACAAGTGGTCAGAATTGAAGAGTATATATGAAAATTTCTCCTTGGCTACAAACTTGAAACTTGAAATCTTAAGAAGTATAAATTTGTGAAATGTTTCAACATGGACAGCACAACTGACAATATCTCAGAAACTACAATAATGGGCAATTATATATGCACTGAGACACAGTATAGACATATGTAACATGATCATACACTTATCTACAAAAGACACTGCTCTGTAAGATCTATTTGAATTTTAGCTGATATGACCAGACTCTAAGAATATTCATAAATTATATACCATCATCAACCTCTGATGCTGATAGAATGTTGATTGTCTATGATATGGAAGGATTGTTTTTCTGTCGTATGAATTGTAAAGAGAATGGCTGAGGCACTGTTGTTTAGTTTTGAGCATCACACTGATGTTGCCTTGATTTACATTTTGTGCAGAAGGCTTTATGAAATGTAGACAAAGTCACTTCTGTCTGGTGACAAACAGTTTATAGGAAAGTTCATGAAATTGTACTTTTTATATAACAGTATCATTTAAGAAGATAAATCTCTAATCCAATATCAGAAACAATACATAATATGGAGTATGATGCCTATACTTACAACACATTACTAAGTGTGGCCCAATTATGGTGTAACTAGAGGCAAAACTTGAGGACTGCACCTAATAGCACATGCACCAATACAGATTCCTGGAGTTTGATTTTCCACATAGTTATATTATATAAAAACATCATTTATAAACATTTTGGAAAAAATTACACTTGATATAAAAAACTGCTAAGATAGGTTACATATCTTAGAAACAGACTGTCAGCAATAGCTGTAAAACAGAGAAAAAGTACCAAACAAATTATTTTCTTTCTTTCATTTTTCATACAATCACAACAATTGCATATCATACATAATTATAATAATATATTACACTCTTACATAATAAAACACAGTTTAAAACTAAAAAAGTGACACCTTTATATTTAGTATCATAAAATCACAAATAATATTTATGTTAGATATCCCACAATTTTTCTGGGACAAAATGGCGTACATTATTTACAAGGCACTTTTCTTCTTTTGTCAGCTGTATACATTACTGTATCTCAAATACTTTTCAAATATCTTCTCTTATGTTGCCTGAAGCCAAGGCAAAATGAGAAGAAAAATGTTAGAACATTTGTGACCATAGATTCAGAACATTTAACGATGCCAACAGCTGTAAACAGTTTTTCCTTTCATTCTTAAAAAAAACAAAACCAAGAGCATGAATGAAACTGGTATCCACGACCAAGACTTAACGTACAAGCTTGGTTACTGGAAGGACGCTTTTTCTTCCAAATGTTTCAACAGAGAGCATTTTAAACTGTCGACCTGTCAGTCATTTATCACTTGTAAAGAATCCTACAACACATATCCATGTGCAGAGGATGACTTGTTTGAAATAAAATGATTTCGTGACTAACCCCATACCTCTGTAACACAAGTATGAGGCATAACACTTTGTTTTGGTCAAGTGCTGATTTATTGTATTTTTTGTAACTGAAATTTAGAAATCCCAGTCTGCACAGACAAGACAATGTGACTGGTTACTGTTTATGTATAGATTGTTAGGTCCAGACTTGTCTGGCAACCTGTGTTGAGCCTTACCACAGCTACTAAGCAACGAGTCTAGAGGATTGTAGCAGCTGTTAAGTTGGTTGAGTCTGAAAGGTGTTACAATCATGTGGCAGCAAATTAGGACAGTCTTTTCAGTCATCATCCTTCTTCTCTGGCTTCAAGTCCACCATTGCATGAAGTTCTTCTGGAGTTAACCTGAAACATGCCAAGGTGTTGCCAAGTGAAGAACATTGTAGTCTTGCTGTAATGCCTTTCTGGTGCCCATGATACGATCTTCCAAAATTAGATTTTCATGTAAGGTGCTGCTAGTTGCTTCAAGTGCATAGAGCCAGACAGATATGTTCATTCACATTTCTATTTTGACAATTTATATCACTGTTAGATAGCTCATTTGACCATTATCAACAAAATGAATGCTATATGATGCAGAATGAATCATGAAATATACAAGTGATACTGAAATACATGAAAAGTACTGTTGCTGAAATACTCACCCCATCAAACTTTGGAGGTCACATACAAAACGATACACATAGCGTTTTCCTGCTGTCTTGTGGATGATGTTCTTGTCATAGTAGTATCTCAGTCCACGGCTCAATTTCTCATAGTTCATTTTGGGCTTATTCTTGCGAATCCCCCATCGGCGTGCAACCTCATCAGGATCTGTCAGTTTGAATTCCCAGCCATCACCCGTCCAAGAGATGAAACCCTGGCATGATTTGTCTGTGAGTAGCTCCAGCAGGAATTGCCAGAGCTGAATTGGGCCCGACCCTGTGAAACACGGCCCACCACCTGCTCGAATTAATATTCACGTCGCTTATTATAATAATACATGTTAAAGGGAAGAAATAATATTTCAGTGTAAACAGGAATACATAAATACTTATTAGCTGTCTGAGTAAACTGAAAATATGTTCAAAATTGGGACAGATTTTATCAGAGTCCCTAGACACACTTGCTTGCTATTTATTTTAAGATTCTGAGTTGAATATAAGCTCTGGTTTTAGTCCAGGACAAACTACAGCTGTCAAATAGAATGATGGGAGTCTTGACTCTCTATAAACAAGCCAGAGAACCTGCCTAATAATATATGGAGGGGAGAACTTAGAAATTTGTTTCTACTTTCCTGTTCCAATAGAGGGGTGGAAAGGTGCATTCAATTGGAATACAAACATTTTCTGTTCTTTTTAACTTTTCTTCTCTGTTCATAGAGTAGTTCAAGAAAAGTTCAGAGGGACATTCTGCCTCCATCTTCAGGGTCTAAAAGTTAATCAAGCAAGTAACCAATAAGAAGCAGGTCACAAGCAAAGCAAACCAAACCATCCCAGAAGAAAATACTCTCGATACTACAATAAAAAGGGTACATTTCTGTTACTTTCATTTCATTAAATGTGCATCAATGTTATAGATCCCAATTCTATATCATGTGCCAGCTATTTGTATAATGTGCTGTTTTGAGAAATTTAAACTAGTCCAATTTGAACTTCATGTAAAGGATGGATTATATTATACTAGACTCATTCAAACTAAAATTAAATAGTATAACATTTTTCACTAGAATATATCAAGCAGTGAGTAACATCAGCTTGGACTACAACCAAAATGTATCCAATTTGCATTGCATAACATGGTATACAGAATTCCTAGGTTCAGCCATGGCTCTTCTGGAACAAGTCCAACTGTAAGATGAGAGCATCAAAATGACTGAGAACTTGGAACTGAATATGGATCATAATCTATTACTTATCAGACTTTTTGTTTCCAGAGTGTAACTACAGCACTTCATGACTAGAATTAAAACATGCCTTCTTCACCAGAAAAACAGTAGACCTGTAAGATTTTCAAACCCCATTTGTCAAACCAACATCGCAGTTCTGAACCAGAACATCTGATCCATATTATTATTTTGTAATGTACACACTGGAATGGACAAAGTGAATTACAAATTAACATATACCAAGTGGAAGACTGATTTGTACATTACTTAATGATGCAGTTTTGGTTACAGAGTTTATATAATGTCAAATCACATGAGATTATGATAATAAATGTTAAGTTAAGAGAGGAGTAGGCGAGAAGCAATGACAGCAGATTTTAAGGAACTATCTTGACATTCACCCAGATACAAAAAGTTATGAGAAATCTCAGTCATGATAGCATGTATACAAACTGGGTATTTTTTCAATTCCATTCTACAGTACTGTCACTAGCCCAGTCTGCTCAACAGGAAGGTGTGGAATGGCATAGTAAAATATAAAGTTATGATGGAAAATAATTAGGAAAAAATCATAGCAAGTGCTATGACATATTAAGCCTAATGAACATAAGAATGAGAAACACAAAAATTGTAGGATTACTTATTACAGAAGTAGCAGAGACCAAATTAACTACTCGTTCAACACTAAAGAAACTAAAACCACCAATGTAAGCTTACCATTGGTTATTCCATACTCGTCAAGACCTGGAGGTGTGAGGAAGGAAAATGTTACACTTATGACATCTCTCTACAATATTACTGATTAGACTGGGGTGAGATTCATACTGTGGCCCCAGATAAGCCTACAGTACCAGGATCTGGTTACAAGGTTGATGATAGATAAGCATGGACCACTGGTTAGATCATGACTGGTAGAGGAAACTGGAAAACTTGGTGAAATATCTGGCTAAGTTACAGTACAACAATTCTGTAACAAAAGGTAATGTGGGATCCTCAACGTCTCACAACCCTATGGGCCTTCAGGGCCTGTTACAAGGATAGCTTTACTTTACTTTTACAGGTACTATTTCATCTGTGATCAAATGCAAACATGATTCCTTTGTGCAAGTACACAACCTTAAATTACAAGAGAGAATTTTTCTATTAAGTAAAAAAAAAGTATTAATAATACACCAACAGCCCTTCACAGAGCTCTTATTTTGTTCATTTCCTCCAACTTGCTGTCTCTCCTTCAGGCCCTGATAGTGTTTATTTAGTTCAACATTTATGACAAGGCTAATCACTACTGATACAATATTATGACACTCATTAAGGGCAATGAAATTGATCTGGGCACCATGATGCAAATGCCAAACTAAGGAATGCCAACTGTGACATAACTGACAAATACAGTCACATTACCAACATCGAAGCCCATCACTGCAGTGTCTACACAATCCTGAACTGCTAGTCTGAGAACCCATCTTCCTTGCAGTTTCCTTCCCTGCCTTCCAAATGACTGTTTTCCAAACAGATTTCCTTGCCACTGTTCTGTATGCATTTCTTATCTCTGCTATGTAATCTGCATGTAACCAAAACAGTACTAAGTGCCATACATGAATTTGTAGGTTGTCTTAGGTAATTTTACTATGAAGTTGGATTTTTCAAATCCAAGTTCATCTTTAAATTGCACAGCCTAAAGGTTTTTCACACAACATGTACTCGTAAAGTAAGGTGTAATTGTGCCTAAGCATGGTGTCATAAAAGTTACAGATGGTGTGGTCATGAAATATGCATTCTAGACTTTGGAACTACAAAGAGGCAAACTGGATGGATAAGCCTAATAACACTTATAGTTAATGAACCTTCCTGAGAAGAACTAATTTGATAAAAGTCTTCACCTACCAGAGTACCCGGCAAGCATGGACGACTGAAGCACCGGTTTTGTGTCACCATTGGGAGTCACCGCATGGCCAAGAGCATCCCTGCCTGGACCTGAATGCAAGAAGGCAGGGTGAGGATGTGGACCTCCTTGCACCATATCCGGGCCAGAACCCCAGTGTTCAGCTGTGCTATTTGGAACAGTCTGGAACGGTGTAGAGTCGTAAGGAGAACTGTATGCGTCACTGTAGGCATCATGATGTGAATAACGACCTGTAACAGAAGGCATGGGTCAACAAATATGGGGAAGGAAAATCTGAAAGTCCTCTGCAGATAGAAGCTGAATGGTCACACCAACATGTAGCAAACACTGGGACCAGAGCTGGTTTAACTCTGCGTTTCTTATTCATTTCTCTGCTAATTACCAGGCTTTTAATGCTCCATACTCATCTATCATCGGCCCCTGAGATGTTCAGATAGACCTGACCAGGCAGAATATTTTCATACATCCTTGGTCATCAACCCTGAGCCTTCACCTCTGCACCCAGCACTTTGCCGGTTACAGAGTTTGGAAAACAGTTCATACCTTATCTTTGCTGCTGAACAGATAATGTGGTTGGGTGGGTGGGTGTGTTGGTAAACCAAAAGCCCCTGGACAGTCTACAACTGGCATTAAAATTGTGCAATAAATCAGGGAAGCTATTATGTTCGAATGATAAAGTAGGTTTACTGTTTATTATTTAGGTACTAAACCAAAGTACTTCCTGTAAGTCGCATGTCACGTCTCAAACTCCAAAAATAATGAAGCTGGAAGGCAACTCTATCCAATCTGTGTGTATAAGCACAGGTACAGTTACACCAAGCAGCATTACACAAGCGGTGGGCTATGGACCGGTAGGCTAGAGTTATATTAAGCCTATTTTGCCACAGAAACTATAAATATTAATTCACAATGAGTGTACTTTTCTTTTCCTTTCTGTAACTAAACATTTTATGCTGCACACAAGGCACACTACAAAGTCTCTTTAGGCAACTCAGTTACACTTAACACTTAGGCCTATTTGTTTTTCATTTGCGACCATCAATTTCTGAGTACTCAAATTGTTTCATTTTCTCCGGAGTATAACTTTTAACTGTGACATATTCAATTCGGTTATGACTTCCCTTCAATGCTGCACAAAGGCGTTATTTTTTTCTAAATGAGCGTATTTAGATGTATTTGTAATAATTTAATTTGTAGACTATGGTCTAGTGCACAACATGAAACTGCCGTTTCACCAGTATGTGAACCAGGGAAAGCCAAAAACCACTAATACAGAGCATTAGTTTAAAATGACAGCAGCAGCTAACCAGCATAGCTCAGTCGTTATAGCGACTGGCTACAGGCTGGAGGGCCAAGGAGTTGGAGTTCGTTTCCCGGTAGGGTCAGAATTTTCTCTTCTACATGTTGTCAAGACTGGCTCTGAGGCCCACCAAGCCTATAAAATAGGTACCGGGATTGTGAAGCTGACCACTCACCTCCAACGAGTGCTGAGGTCAAGAAAACGTTGATCCATACATGCACACCCTCATACGCCATCAAGGCACAGTGCTTAATTAGTTAGACAGCAGCCACACCTAGATGCTGATACAGAAACTAAACGGAGGTTGCTGGTGTAGCAGTAACGTTCTCAACTTGTCCTTGGGAGGCTGGGACACAGGCTATCATAACTGGTGTTCTCATTAGTTTTCTGCGGTCTCTCCTGACACACGGAGGGACAGTACCTCAATCTTGCCATGATCGCTTCATTCAAAATCCTTTCCAATTCATCCTATTTGACATTACAGTATTAGACACTGTCAGTTCCGTAAAATAAAACATTAAAAACAGAAATTACTTTAATTCTTGTTCCATCAGTGAAGTGTCTGAGCTGATGAGGCAGGTTCTACTGAGCCAATGATGTCTGAAGCTGTGTTTCTATTGCATGTAAGTCGCGTATTTGTCAGAGAGATGGATGCACCAAGCAAGATTTTTGCTTTATCTTTGCCACTTTTCACTTTCGACTTTCACGCACGGACGTTTTGTTGTGTTATGAATTCTTAGGTAAAGCCTCACATTACTTGCTGCAGACAATTTGTGGCAAGGGAAACACGTAACTGAGAAGTATGAATACTTTACCATCTATGAAACTTCAGAATCGGAAGCAAAACTTGATTACCACCAGTCATCACACTCTGAACTGTTTACTACTACCTCTGACTCCCTGTGCACCTTATCGTGGTTTTAAAAAATCTGGATACAGGTTGTTTCATACCACATTTGTAGAAGAGTTTACTTTCTGGAAACCACATAACCGAGAGAATTAAAACAGGAAACAGAGGCCGTCTTCACTTCACAACATAAGAAACTTTGGCTCTGCATCGACTTATGCCATCAGGGCAAGGTTTTGCGATTTAGATCAATTTCAATCACTGGGATATTTTTATGTTTTACGTTATATGTTCAAAAGCTCTTGCAGGTTTAAATTATTATGAATAACTAAATGTAAAGTTGTCCCTGTGCTTAACGAATTAACCAGTATGTCATGAAGGCGTATGGGGAGTAGATGTATAGTTCCACGTACTCTTGACCTCGGCATTAGTTGGAGGTGAGTGGTCAGCTTCACGCCCCTGCCGCTTTACCCCCGGGGAAAGATCCCCGGTACCAACTGGATAGGAGGTTGGGTGGATCCCAGAGCCGGTCTGGACGACTTGGAGAAGAGAAAATTTTTGACCCTACCGGAACTCGAACTCCGACCCCTCCGCCGTCCAGCCAGTCGCTATGCTACGCTACCCCGGTTCCTTATTATGGAGAACTAGCAGATATAATTAAACTACCGCTAGAGGGCCGACTTTAGTGTTATTTTCAACAACGCATGTTTCTTTCTTAACAAAAATATTAAATACGATCAGTGTTTAAAAATAATTCAAGGCCTGGAACGGAAACAAATGATCACATAAACCTTATATAGTTACAAGCGAAGGTCAAATGAAACCATCGTTAAAGACTTGTTCCACGCCTGGCCCGATGTGAATTACTCGTTCAACATGACAATCTCGTTCGAGAAGCTCAGTATATCACTGATTTATTAATTACTCCACATTTTTGCTGGGTAAATAACAAGAAGATTGTGAATAATGAATTGAAAGTGCGAGAAGGGCATCAGACGTAGCCAATTTTATGGTAATATCCTAGGATTTGCATGGAAGGAGTGTGGAAACGTACAAAGAACTGACAGCCACGACAGCCGCGGCTGACCCCTTTGGAAGAAGCACGAGAGCATGTACGATTGGTGTGATGCAGGCCAGGTATGTAGTGAAGGAGCTCATTCCTGAACTGGTGAAGATCAGCAAGGCCTTCATGCAAGGGCGTTGGCATGCTCTGTGTCGACAAAGTGATTCATCTGTGCTTAAACATTTCGCCCTGAAGAAATATGGGAAGTGGAGACACAGAGCTTCACGCACTCTAACTTCTGCAGCACATGTAAATGACAACGGAAATTATATATACACCTAAACGCTGTTTGATAACGAATATACGAGAAAGTTGGCTCAAATAGTAAGTAACGCTCCTGACATGCACTCGGGAAGCATCCGGTATGAATTTCGGCCGGGTAAAGATTAGGTACACAGCCGGTCGCGGTGGTCGCACGGTCTAGGCCGTCTAGGGCATGAAATGACCTCGCCCGCTCGAACACTGGGATCGTGGGTTCGAATTCCACTCAAGGCATGGATGTCTGTCTGTGTTTATGCTATATATGTTAGGTAGAAGCCTTGTGACGAGCTGTTCCCCCGTCCAAGGAGTCCTACCGACTATCTTAGATTAGGAAACTGAAGTGAAACACTTCGTTTCACTTCAGTACTTAATTAATTAAGCATCATGCCATGATATATAGCTCCACCATTCTTGACCTCGGCACTAGAGGGAGATGAGTGGTCAGCTTCACGCCCCAGCCGCTTCAGCCCCTGGGAAAGAGCCGCTCAAGGGCCGGTCTGGACGGTGTTCAGAAGAGAAAATTTCCTCCCCTGCCGTCCGGCCCGTAGTCCGTCGCTATATCGACTGAGCTATCCCGGCACTTCGAATATAAGCGGGGTCACCCACTACCATAACAGATTCTCTCTCCAGGAAAATGACAGCGGAATGCCTTAGATCATGCAAGTCCCGCTTCCTCGAACATCTATCCATCTCATTATTATCATTAAGTCGCTCGAGGCTACAGACCTACAGCGTGAATCACCGGCAGCATCCACAAATAAATACAAAAATACACATGTGCGGTCGAACAAATAAATCTATAAATCTTTACCAGAAGTTACTGTTTTAGTTCCAAAATATTATCTTGTGTGATATGACGTCAGAAGTTTACCGACGTTCAGCAGAAACGTATTGCCTCCATCTTCAGGTTCGAACGGTACGCCCAGCAAGCAAACAAGGAGGCATGAAGCAGCAATTAAATCTAGCATAAAGAACGATCAATCACAAGAGACAGTTGAATTACAGATGCATGCCCTTCCGAACAGCAAGAAGGCATTAAGCTGACAGAATACTCGCACACCATTTTCATTGCTTCGTAGTGTACTCTGCTTTGCACTATCACATTATACTTCTCGAGGTCAGAAGTCATTAAGTCATGCGGGCACTGAATGCACGCAAATAGATGCCACGGCTCTGAAACTAGCAAGACGTTCTGATGACCGTGGGAACTGTTCAGCAGTAATTGTATTTTCCAGGGCTGCACAGGTACACACCGCGCGGGTCTTGTCAGCTACGCAACGGCACAGCGAGAAACATGAACGTGTACGAGACAGTTTTTCGCTAACTTCTGAAAGCAGGCCACGTACGGAACACTGAAATTTAAGTTAGTATACTTTCATTATCTTTTCAAAACAGCTTTACACATGTCGTGCTTGAATTTTTTAATTGGAAATAAAGAATGTAATTGGTTCGAATATGACAGCCTCTGTGGTCTAGTGGTCAGAGTTCCTGGCTACAGATCCAGAGGTCCCGGGTTCGATTCCTGGTGCTGCCAGATTTTCTGAGAAGTAGTGGGTCTGAGGATAACTGAAGAGCTATTTCAAGGAGATAGTAGTGGGGATCCATTGAACTGACCACGCGACACCCTATATCCGCTAAAGTTGGCACTAGCTTCGCCAACAAGCGGCGGTCGCTCTGTCGGTATAATTCGCTTGCGGACTACAGGCCACGGAGTTGAATTGGTTCCACTACGTGCGCTTATACTTCTAAATATCTCTAACGCACATATTGACGTGGCTTCTCAGTCTAACATAAGTTTTCTATGGCGTCTGCTCACTAGCCTGGGCTTGAAGATTATCTCAACAGTCCGCCTATAGGAGCTAATTGCCGTTTAGCTGGTAAAAACATGTCCCTCGCCCTTATGGAAAACGAAGATTTTTGCAATGTCCACAAGAGCCCACTGCGAATTGTGACTTGTAGGAAATCAATCACACGCCCTACATAAGAACATTAACAGCAACTTTCGTACTAACTTTATAAATAATTTTTGGAAATACATTTCGATATCATAAGAGATTTTTCCCTTCCTCTCGCTCCCACTTTGGGGCTTAAAACTTATTTCTCAGTTTCACTGATCCTTTTTACAGACGGTAGGACTCCTTGGACGGGTCATCAGCTCGTCGCAAGGCCTCTACCTAAATACAGTACAACACAAACACAGAATAAACGCATACACACATTAAACATCCATGCCTCGTGTGGGATTCGAACCCACGATCCCGGCTTCCGAGCGAGCGAAGACAATACATGCCTAGACCGCTCAGCTACCGTGACCGGCATGTCACAGACATAACACTTTTAAAAGCTTATTAAGGGTGTTGGCACACAAATTTAGAGCAAGATTTCATCTTCTTAATTTCTGGCATGCAGTCTTAAAACGGTTTGTGGTCCCTGGATTAGAACATCTAAAGGAAACGAGCCATTCTTCCAGTAACCGTATGACGGGCTGCTAGATGATAGCGCCTTACTTCGACAGCACTGAGGTCGACAACTCTCATTATCGGAGTGAATTACAATAGACATGTTCATGGCCATCAAGGGCAAAACAGAGAGCTGCCACTCGGGCCGCAAGTCTATCAATGATCCGCGCATTACTCAAAGCAATCACATTTCATTACACACAAAAATATAGTTAACATCCACAAATTTGTGATGACAGTACATCAATGCAAGTATCATGTTTCTGGACATTATTCACTGTCCTGTTTTTAAATATTCGTAGACACAGGACAGTGTTTTAGAAAAGAACCAGCACAATGAATAATGTCCAGGAACATATTACTTGCAATAAAATATGGGGTTTCCATAAAGTGGGCTGTAATTAGTATCAAAACTTTTTTTTTTCATTGGCGCTACAGCCCTCATTTGGGCCTAGGCCTACATCCATGAAACTCTCCGTTTCACTTCGGTTTACTAGATCTTACACATACGGTAGGACTCCTTGGGCGAGTGATCAGCTCGTCGCAAGGCCTCTACCTGTAGACAAACACAGAAAAACGCACACAAACATCCATGCCCTGAGTGGGATTCGAACCCACGATCCCGGCTTCCGAGCGAGCGAACACAGTGCATGCCTTGGACCGCTCGGCTACCGTGACCGGCAGTAAACCAGATTAGAATGTGAAATCAATTAACCTTCGGCGCCTTCATGGCGTGGTGTTTAGGCATAGACACAACTTTGCTTTTGACATATTTTCTTAATTACAGCAACCCCACCTTTAACATGCCACATCCATACAACAGTCTTTCTTGGTAAGCTAAAACTTGCTGAGGCATTCAATAAACTGCCTGCGTTGTATGGAACCTGAAACGGCAGATGGACGGGACATATGAGATATCTACAAATTTTTTTGTCAGACGTCCTGAAGGGAAGGGGCCGTTTGTAAGACCTAGGTACAAACTGGGAGATAATACTGTAATGGATTTGATCAACGCGTTGCCAGGCAACAGCTCGGTAAACACGGTCCAACACGCAACAATAGAGGAAGACGTGTTTTCTGTAGATCCGACCGACAGGCCAAAAGACTGGCTGGATGGGGATCACGCGATATGTGTTTACTGTACGTCCACGTCCGTTCCGCGGCAATATAACGACAGCCGTGAGCTGTAAGTTCAGAGCGAATTGAAACTAGGAGTACAACAGAGTACAAGAGCCTGTGAAGATGTAACGGTGACTTGAAGTCTCTGTGTGTGCTGTAGTGCAGTTGTATTGGGAGTGTGTGATTTAACGAGACTTTTATAGTTCCTACGTTATAAATCCGTTGCCGGGAAACGGACAGTGAAGACTAGTGGAACTAGACTGAGAAGATTAGTGTGGAGTAATTGTAAATTGCGTAAATCAGCAGTAGTATAACAATTATTTATAGTGACGTCCTGTAGGTTACTAGGTCTTCCTGGAGTTTCGACGCCTGCGCGTCAAGAGACAGTGTTTAGAGGGCTATTGCTTGGCAACGGGATCCGTTATATTACTGAAACGGAGCTGAAAAAAAAAACTGCGTGTGAGTATGGACTGCATTTACCTGACTAAGGATATGGAACAGCGGTGAGCTCCTGTTCACAAGAACAGTAATTTCTTAGCTGTAACGACTTCTCTGGAAGTCTAATCAGCAGTTTACTCACCGCGCGGGTAGCTCTTGACGTAATGCGCTTGATACTTGGTGTCCAAGAGCGAAGACGGAGGTGGCGCCGAATAAAACTCTGGAGAGCTGTCGATGTATGGGTTTGGGTGGTGATTGCCACTATCCAGAGAGTGGTACTCGTGATCTGGAGGCTCGTAGTGCTGCCCCTGGTGCTGTGGCGTCACGGTACTGTAGCTCACTGCACCACCGGCAGATGGTGGGTCGTCGCTCCCCGCTGACCCGCTCGCCAGGTCACTGCCGCCGCCACCCAGCTGCTGCATAGTGGCGTCCCCCAGTTGATTGTAGCCACCTGCAAAGTTACTTTCACGTGTGTAGCGAGTGCTTCCCAGGGGTAGATCATGTCTCTGACGCAGACTATCCCCTCCCGCCCAAATACAATTCTCGAAAAAAATGACTTTGCATTAGCCTACATGAGTAAGGAAAAGGTAAAGTTGTCCCTGTGCTTAACTAATTAAGCACTACGCCATGAAGACGTATAGGGGAGTGGATGTATAGATCCACATTTTCTTGACCTCGGCACTAGTTGTAGGTGAGTGGTCAGCTTCACGTCCGGCTGCTTTACCCATGGGAAAGAGCCCCCTGTAACCATTGTAGAGGAGGTTGGGTGGACCCCAGAGCAGGTCTGGACGATTGGAGAAGTGAAAATTCTTGACCCTACCGGGACTCGAACTCCAACCCCTTGGTCGTTCAGCCCATAGCGAGCCGCTATATCGACTACGCTACTCCGGCTCATTAGCCTATATTAGCGCATGTTCCAATTTCAGGTATTTTACTCGACGTTACTGCTAAAGATATAGCTAGATTTTTCAAATATTATCCACGTCGCAACTATAAAGCAGGGCTAACATTTCCAAAAAATAGGCTCATATAAATAAGCACTATTTCCTCCATCGAGTTATAAACAATTAAGTATGCAAAAATTCTGTGTAATGGACAGTCTTCGTGCTCCTTGTACGTGAACAGATGGAGACGTTGCTGAGACAAGAGCAGATTAATTTTTATCATCTTCGTTCAAACGAGAACAGGGTATGGAACATGTAAGGACGACTACCAAACAAAACAAAAAACTCCCGTGTTTTTTTTTAGTCCGCAAGCGAACTATACCGACCGGGCGACCGCCGCTTTTTGGCGAAGTTAGTGCCAACTTTAGCGGGTAGAGGGTGTCGCGTGATCAGCGCAACGAATCCCCACGGCCGTTAATTTCGGTTTTCCAGACTGGAGCCTCTACTTCTCCATTCAAGTAGCTCCTCAATTATTCTCACGAGGCTGAGTGGACCCCGTTCCAGACCCACTACTTCTCAGAAAATCTGGTAGCGCCGGGAACCGAACCCGGGACCTCTGGATCTGTAGCCAAGAACTCTGACCACTAGACCACAGAGGTGGTCCATGTAAGTACGACTGCCAAAGAAAATTAATGACGTTCATGCGATCCTACCTGAACCTACCTAGGCCTATATGCTACATTTTTTTTTAATTTCTTGAAAGAGATACACCAAGATGGCGGTTATGCAAATATGTGCGCGGCGACAGAAACTGCGCAGATTTCAAAACGATAAAACGGGTAAAGCTAGATATTAGCCTAATTAAGTCACTTTCATCACAAATACGGCGAGTGAATTTACGATAATCAGGTTAGCCCACCCGGATCTTCACTTTATGATTAACATCTGAACAGCAATATTTGGTGTGCTGATGTATAAGGTGCATAGAGCAGGGTGGCTGTTCTCGGCGCATGTGATAGATCACTGCCGATTCAACCCGTCAAAATAGGGTTACAGGCTGCGAACGAACCGACAGGTCCGGCTCTACAAGCTTATTTCTTGGTTACTAAGTATAACCATGGCCGGTCACGGTAGCCGAGCGGTCTAAGGCATGTACTGTCTTCGCTCGCTTGGAAACCGGGATCTTGGGTTCGAATCCCACTCAGGGCATGGATGTTTAGTTTGTGTGTGCGCGTGCTTTTCTGTGTTTATGTACAGGCGGAGGCCTTGCGACGAGCTGATCACCCGCCCAAGGAGTCCTACCGAACGTGTAAGATCTAGAAAAACCGAAGTGAACGGAGAAGTTCGTGGAGATAGGCCTAGGCCCACTGGGGCTGTAGTGCCAAGGAAAAAAAATAGTATAACCATGAGGACATAAACTGAAGCACATGGACAAGGTCCAAAATTATGATCCTAGTTATGATGATGATGACGTATGCCGTCAATGTTCTCTGGAAAAGGAAGAGGGACAGATATGACAGGTTCCCATTCTAGACAAGGGTTCCTCTCTCTAGAACTAACAATCAGGACCTTACCTTCTTTGAGCTGGTAGACGGGGCTCCGGAGGTGAATGAAGCCTGACGAAGGTGGGGCAGCGGGAGGAGGTGACGCCTCATCACGGCCGCAATCCGCCGCGGCGTCTCGCGTCGTGCCGCACACTGCGGGACTCCGCAGGTGGCTGTAGCCTGCTGCAACGAAACAAGAGTCATCATATGACTAGTAACAATAACCGCCACTTCTCTTCAGTTCTTTCAGTACATGAGGTACCGCTGACAAGACTCGACCGACAGAGCTGTTTCTAGAGCACGAGGCTGTCTGTATCTGCGTTTTTGTAGACCCCGCTCATGTATACAGCTTATCTAAGCGAAGTAAACTAAATTATTCAATCTTAGGCTGCCTTGACTGCTCGGTACGACGTTACTTTACAGAGGAACGGTGTTAAACGAAATTTATTCCCGAACTGGCTAATGACATCTGAGCTAAACAATATACATCTGACAGATGTAAACAGGAGGATAAGCGTGCCTATAGCAAACTGAAAAACGTGGATGTTTTTCTTTGAACAGTTCGTGCGACGAGCAGCGTCAACAGGAAGATGGGTTACGTTTTCTATCTGTAGTTGTAAGTTATCCCCAACCAATGGTGTCTCCACCTTATCGTGGTGGTGGAGTTTGAGCGCTCCTGAGACCGTGACAGCTATGGCGGCGGTAGCGTAGCTAGTGCTAGGGTCACCCATGCCGGACATGTCAAGGGCTAGGAGCCAGACGAAGAGGGACACCATGGTCCTCCAGGTTGGGGGTTGGGCGTGAGGCTAACAATCTCACTCCGTAAAAACTAAATTGTTCAGAAACCGGAAATTGACATCAGCGAATGAGCTGAGATGGTTAGAGGATGTACATGATGATCTTCGTGAAATGGAAGTGAAAGGATGGGGAGGAAAGATAAATAATAGAGAAGAATAGAGGAGGATTGTTCAGGAGGCCAAATCTCACCCTGAGCTGTAGTGCTGAGGGGATGCCAAGAAGGAAGAAAGAAAGGAAGGAAGGAAGGAAGGAATTTATGCGCCTATGTTTGTTCTGTCACTGTTTTTCTTGGCGTAGAAAATTTGCCTTCTACCAAGACCTTACATTTTATGCCACTGAGAAAAGAAGCAGTTAGATTAATGAGATTTTTCAAAAATTCTAATTCTGACAATTTATATAGTAGACCAGATTGCCAAGTTGTGCCGAAGGCTTCTAAATGAACACAGGAGCCGTCGACATATTGAAGTTTAGGGTGACGTGATCCCCCAGTCTCATACATTGAAGTGCTGTGCTGCGATCTGACCGAAAGCCAAACTGACTTGCATTTATCTGTGTTCCTTTCCTCAATGTCGAGTCGAGTCTTGTGTTACGACCGATGGTCATCGACCAGTCTGTCTTGGAATAAAGCATCTATCTGGGGTTTACGACCAGATTTTTATTACTGTCGGACAGTTGCGGGTTTGCTGATTTTGGGAGCTCTCTCTGACGAGAGGACGGGTCGTTTACAATTTCTGCTGGCCCTCGCCAGCGCAGTTATTCTCTGGTCCGAGTCCCTTGGGACTCGCGAACATATTTTACTGTCTCAGATTCGAGACTTCCATTATCGTCGCCTCCAACGACCCTCAGGGCTACGGTGGAGGTATTCGACCCTACTTGTGCATGGGATTTCTTCAGTGTGTTTTTTGATACAATATATACGTATAAAGAGTCCGACCTAGAAAACAGAAATTAACGGCCGTGAGGATTCGTTTCGCTTACCACGCGACATCCTCTATCCGGAAAAGTTGGCACTAAACTTCGCCCACAAGCGGCAGTCGCTCGGTCGGTATGGTTCGCTTGCGGACTGAAATCACTGAGTTATATAAAGAGTCAGTTCGTACCTTACAGGAAACACATTACGTCTCCGCTACAAAAGCCAATCGGTGAATGCTGGCTAAGTAAACAACTGCTACTTACTGTAGGAACCGAATGAAACACATAAATCTACATTCTTATGGGCAGAAAGCGGTACATATGCAACAAAAGGTTACTGCAACTTGTATACGAGCTGTGCTCTAAATACGTTTCCAAATGGAGGCCAAATCGGTAAAAATAAAACAGAAACCCAGGGAAGTGTTGGAGTGCAACACGACGTTTTGCAATGAATGGTGGCACACAGGCCTACACAACTTCCCCCAGCGCATTGACATCGGTGACTCACGCTTGCACTTATAGGTACAACGCCCGACTACTCAGGGCAAGGCGCACAAAGGCATTAAAACGGGGCTACTTCTTTTCTCTAGCTTACTAGACCTGTTCACAAGATTGCCCTTTCTCCCTCAGTAATGTGTTCACTCGTGCAGGCCATAACTGCATAGGCCTATAGGCCCATCCCCTGCTGCCCGCAGGCACCTCGCCACACCTCAAATTTAAAAAATCAAAACTGAAAAATACAACCACATATTAATAACAATTTAAATTATTTTTAAAAATGTTCTCCTATCCTGAGTGGGGGCACGCGGTAGCGTAGTTGGTTGTGGCACTATGCTAGAAGGAGGAAAGTCGCGGGTTTGAATCTTGATGAGGTGGAATTTTTCAATTTACCTAATCCTTCCAGTCGCACTGCGGCCCTGGGTTCAACTCAGCCTCTAACAGAAATTAATACCAAGAATCTTCTTGGGTGGGTAAAGGGCGGCCGGCGCATAAAGCTGACAACCTTACCACCATCTATGAGCCGACTGTCTAGACCAAGGGTCTCCAAACTACGGCCCGCGACAGAATTCTGCAGAAATGCGCCAATTGAACTAATTTTCCAATGAGTACTGGTAAATGTGATTCCGAGCTTATTGACCTGGCATATTATACTGCAGTTGATGGCTTAGCTGTGGAAAGGTTCTTTCGCGTTTCTTTCAGCTCAGGAATGAAACTGATATATTTCTTACAGAGAAAAACCATCACGAACCACTTTTATCAGATGCCAAGTGGCTCTGGAAATTAGCAGTTTTGCTGATCTGGTGAACCATATGAACCATTTGAATTTAAAGTTGCAGGGTGAAAATAACTTGGTCTGTAATTTATTTGCACTTATCAAGGCATTCACAGCAAAGTTGATACTTCTGGAAAGGGAAGTGAAAAATTGTAACTTTGTTCATATGCTATACTGTGCGGAGTTGCATAAAAAGGGTGAAGCAGAATTTCCTTCCTCGTTTGCAAATTTAGTCATTTTAGATTTGAAAGAACAATTTCGGAAGCAACTTGCTGATTTGGATTCCAGTTCTCAGGAAATTAGATTGTTTCAAAATTTCAATTTAATCAGATTTTAAGAATGCAAAAAGAGTTCCATCATTCACATTAATTGTTTTATTATAATTTGTGATTAAAATATGAGCATTTGCTACCACTATCTGTTGTCATTAATATACGATAATTTATTCTCACGTACTTTGTATTTAGTTTATGAAATTCTGTGCTTTCAATAAAACTCATATACCTAGAGTTATTAATTTCTCATTTTATCCGGCCCGTTGAAAGTGCTGAAATACCTAATGTAGCCTGCGGTTCGAAAAGTTTGGAGACCCCTGGACTAGACAAAATGTGGGAGCCTCGACGTCTCACAACCCTTCGGGCCTTGACGGCCTGCTACGGGTATACCTTTACCTTTTTACCTTTTACCTTCTATCCTGAATATTCTAGGGCGATCGGTTAATGAATGGCCTATTTTCCTTCTTTCTGGAACATTTTCTAGCCACCACCTCCCCGTGGTTAACAGTCTTGGCCGTACCCATGCACGTAAGAGCATTTGTATGGGATGTAAATGCCATCCAACAATGATATTGTTTGCCTTTCCTACTGACATGGAGAGCTAAGCTGGCGGGCGCGTAAGCTCCTGGTAGGACCACGCGAAGTGTAGTCCTTGGCGTGGGGCTAACGACCCATCCCCCCGGGAAAAGTTACTGCGAGGAAACCATGGAGGAGCCCAAAACCCACACAGGGTTCTGACGCTAGTACAGAAGTATGATATTGCTGCAGTCTGTAGGAAGCTCACACAATTCTGCATTCTCTACAGGCCTGTGAGCGCATGCGCAAGTGAAGTAGGACTACTGTGACTAACCACGGAGGTCCAGGCCGCGCCATAGCTCAAGCGGTTAGTCGCTGGCTTCCCACCGAGGCGGCCCGGGTTCGATCCCGGGTCTGGTCAAGTGGGATTTCTGGTTGCCAAAGTGGCGCTGGGGCAGGTTTTCTCCGAGTACTTCGGTTTCCCCTGCCAATTTTCATTCCACCAATTGCTCCACAATCACCCTCACCTAACATCTGGGACTGGTACACTAGGCCAGAAGTGTCCGCAGTACAAGGGACTTAGTCCCACCCCAACAGCAATAACAGAAAACACGGGGCTCTAAAATTGCGTAGGATGAACTTCGTCGTATTAGATGACATTTTAAAAATCCGTCTACTCATTGTTCACGGATTCAATTTCGTCAAGAACGCAATACTGCAGGGCATCAGAGCGAAATCCCATACGACACTCACGTTAAGGCCTGGAAAGGAGGGCGAAAATCTTACGAACCACAACAGAAAAAACATTGCCAACAAATGCATGGAGATAACGTCCAAATTTTTGTGGTCAAAATCACCCGAACTTACCCTACAAACTTCACGTACACGGTGCAGCAAACATATCGACTGCTGCTTTTACTGAATGGAAAGGCGAATACTTTTCTATAGGTTTTCCTCAAGTCACTCCTGTAAGCCAACACCTTCTTGGCGACCTATTCAGACACAGAGACCTAAGTCATGATCTTCCGTTACCTTTAACGTTTTAAATTAAGACATTTATTGCAGTGCCTATGTCAAGACCGCCCAAGGGCTCACATCAAACAAACGAGTCTCCCCTACACGTACTACATTTTAACCGTCTTTATTTAACAACTCCTAACAGCTTACAAAAAGAATACGTTTTCAATTTACTATGTTACAAATGTTTGCGAATGAGAGCGCATTAACACATACATACCGAGAGCCAGTAACAATGTAGGCCTACAGATTACAAGGAAACGAGGCCTGCCAGTACACAAAAGCTGGAATGTAGCTAGTCAATATTGGAAAGCTCGTATTGACAGAGATAAAATCTACCGGTCGCGAGGAAACGCGGTTCGCGCAATACACCTGACAGACAGGGGAACGCG